AACGGAAATCACGATTGAAAATTTTTTTTTTCGAATCGTAATTAATTACACGACTTTTGTAATAATAATTAGAGTGATTGTAATAGTAATAATAATAATAATATTATGGTAATAAAATTGACAACGGAAGGAAAATTTATCATTGCTTGTAAAGAAAATCAAGTTTTTCGAATGTTATAATTAAAGAAAAAGTTATTATAAAAACTCCAATTGGAAATTTCATTTCCGGTTTATTGATATTGGTTAAATAAGAATTAATAATAATAATAAAAGAATCGATGTTTCCCGATTGATGTATGGTGGGGAGTGAAGGGGAAGGTGTTGCGAAAGGCGGTGATGATGGTGGAAGAAATAAACCGGATATCGTTTGAAAGTACCGACGGATAAAAAGATGGCGCCGCCGTCATTGCCGCCTACCGAAAAAGGAAAGAAAGAAAATGGCAAAAATTTAAGAAAATTGAAATTCGCAAAGGAAACATCGTCGTGGGTTTCGTGAAAAAAAAAAAAAAAAAAAAAAAAACGAAAGTTATTCCAATCGTCGTGGGAGCAGTGAAAAATCATATCAAAAATCCCTTAATAGCAATTCCGGATGGATTTTTGCTTTGCATTTTTTTAAAAAAAAAAATTAAAAATCGTTTTGCGTGGGACGGCCCACGTTCTCTCCTCGAATCGAAAAAAAAAAAAATCGGGAACGCAAATCTTGGAACGGAAAATCCCCCCCCCCAAAAAAAAAAAAATTTTTTTTACCAACCGCCAACAAATTAATTATTTTATTATTTCCAAAATGGTCAAACTGGATTTTTTTATTTTATTTCTTCTTTCTATCGAATGACAACGACAACAACAACAACAAACAAAACAACAACAACAACAACCAAAACAACAACAACAACAACAAATTTTTTTTATACTTCTGCTTTAAAAATTCATTTTATTACGTAATTTTTATCATCATTATGATAAAATATATCATAATATAAATATACGTAATACATCAATATATAAAATATATGATTATTACTTAATATATATGTTCAAACGACTTTTTGACCTTGAAAAATTTATAATAACAACGATGATGATGATGATAATAAAATTATCAGCGCGGTGAATTTTAACATTTAAAAATGATGATAATGATAATAATAATTATAATCGATTAATTAATTAATTACGTAAGAATAATTTTTTTTTTTTGGTCGGGTAATTATTTTGAGTTACGTTAAAGAGGGGAAGTGCGGAGACAGTTGTTATTATTATTATTATTATTTTAATCTCGGCACGAGGATCTTTTGTTTTGGCCGTCGATGTTATTCATCAGTCATTTCAGGTTTCAGTTTAATTTCTTTGGGATAAGAATGTTTAAAGAATGCGAGGTCGTTTTCACGAACAAACCGACACAATTGATCGTGACACGGCTTTCCCGATTCTACTTCCACGATGACCGGAATCGTTTCCGTTTTCGCACACTTTCCACATCCTGTAAATATGTCTTACTATATTTCAGTTTTTGTTTTTTCACTTGAACGGTCGTACTTAAGGTAGTGCGCGGATAAAAGGTCGTCATTTCTGGAATCGTCACTTTATTATCATTATCATTAAATGTTTTTTTTGTTTGGGGGGAGGAGGAGGAAGAGGAGGAAGAAAAAAATTAATTTAAAAAATTTTTTTTTTTTTTTTTTTAAATTTGTTATTATTATTATTGTTTGGAATGTTTAAATAAATTTTTTTTACAGGCAACAAGACGAAAATGAATTAATAGTACTCTTTTTTTCGTCTGCCAGTCGTAATTTTTTAATAAGGAGGAGGAAGAGGAGGAGAGGAGGCGGGGTTAAGACTTAAGAATCCGAATTTTATTTTTTTCGTTTACTGTTTTTGTTTGTTGCTGCCCTCCCCCGATTATTTCAAAAATTTCACTCGTTTTTTTTAAAATGTTTTTTTTCTACTTCCACGTTTATTATCATCCCCCTTTCATCTTTCTCTCTCCCCATCTTAATTACGTTTTCAAAATTATTTGTTTTTTAATTATTATCATCATCATCATCGTTTTATTTTTTTTTGGATTTCGAAAAAAAATTTTTTTTTTCTTTCTTTCTTTCTCGTGGGAAATTTTTCCTTTTTTTTTTAAAAGGGGGGATCGAAAAAAAATTTTTCTTTTTTTTTATTTTGTTCGCATGAAGTGGCACTTGAACAATTTTCAGCTAAGGTTAAACGCAAACAAAAATCCACTTCACGTTTTTTTATTTTTTTTTTATTTTGCTTATTTTTCTTTTTTTTTTTTATTTTCACTTTTGTAAGTTTTCCTGATTATCATTATTATTACTATTATTATTATTACTATTATTATTATTATTATTATTATTATTATTATTATTATTATTATTATTATTATTATTATTATTATTATCACTATTATTATTTGGAACTTAAAATTAAAAAAAAAAAAAACTTAAAAAGGGGAGAAAAAATTAAATATGAAAATCATCAAAAGTGAAAAAGTAATACGAGAGGGGATACACAGAGAGAGAGAGAGGGCATGAATAAGAGGGTGAGAGTGAGAGAGAGAGAATAAACACTTACTCATTCAAAACATTTCCATTGAGTCTGCCCATCATTTTTTTATTTTTATATTTTTTTGTTTTTTTTTTTTCGTGTCACCTGACAAAAATTTTTTTACTTTTTTTTTTGCTATGATAAATATTTTTTTTTTTGCTGCCGTCAAATTTTTATGTTTTCCGTAATATTCCACATTTCGAACGACGTGTAGTTGATGTTTGTTTGGTTTTGTTGTTGTCACTTTTAAACGGGTTGTTCTGTTTGTTCTTTTTACGTCCTCCCACGAGTCTCCTCTTGAAACGTGTCGAAAATCCGATTTTTATTTTACGTACAAAAAAAAATAAAATTTCCCGGAAATGGATTCTTATCGGAAATCATTTCCGGTCGGATTGAAAAGCTTAACAGTACTTAATTATAACAACAATCGTTCATGGAAAATTCTAGAACGTGTAAAAAGAAAAAAAAAAGTCTTAATAAGAATAAATTGCAAATTAAAAACAGAATTACGACGCTTAAACTTATTATTTTTATTATTTATTTATTTATTTATTTTTAAAACGCACACGCACGTACACACGCACACACCATCTTACATAAAAATGAAGTATAATAATAATAATAATGATAATAAATGACTTTTTCATTTATAAAAAATTTTTAAGATGTCTTAACACCTACGATTTTCTTAGACCCGGGTTTTAATATAATAATGACGTCATCGTTAAAATTTCAAGTATTCGGATTTATTTTTATATTTATTATTATCATTATCATCATTATCATTATCATTATTATTAATAATTTTTTAGATTAAGGTTATGCGAACAAAAAAAAAAAAAATTAAAACACTTAAAAATAATTTTTAAATTTTTTTTTCGATGTGGGTTTTCCGCGTACCTGGTTTTTCCTTTTGGAAAATTAAAATGTGTGTGTGAAAAAACAAATTCGCGAGAGAGAGAGAGAGAAGACGGGATAGGAAGAGAGAGAGAGATAAAAAATTAATTTACAAAAAAGTCCTTGAACGTTAAAAATTGTGTTTTAACCTTCTCACTGTTTTTTTTGTTTTTCGTCTGTTATAAAAACTATTAAAAAAAAAAATTATAAGTGTTTACGAACGTTAATGAAATGAATAAATAAGAGAAGACGAATGAGAACTTATAGCTATATAGCTAGCTATATTTTACAGCGCTATAAAATGATTTCAAACGAAAAAAAATTTCTTTTTTTTAATTAAAAAAAAAATAACGTAAAATTTTCGTGTTATGTATTCTTATTCGCTATAAAAATTACGACTATAAAATGCTTAAAATCAATTTATAGCGCTACAAACGTATTTTTAAAAAAAATAGCAACCATGCAAATTATGTAGTAAATGCATATAGTTTTCGGGCGCTATAATTTAATAATTTTTATACGAGAATACGAAAGCTATAAAGTTAAGAATGAAACTATAAAAATACAGTAAAAAAATGATTGGAGATGAAATCCTACCCCCTCCCCACTGGAATTGGCATCTTTGTTCGATGACGTCAAATTTTTTATTAAAAATGTTCAAATTATTTTAATATGGGGGTATCTTCTTTTGATGTCACCCTCATCTAAAGTCACTTTATAGACGTGGGTTTAGAAAAAAAAAAAAAAAAAATTTTTTTTCCGATACGACCCTGTCAAAAAATTTTCCACTCAATTACGTAGACGAAAAAAATATTAACCGAATTTCCACTCGTTTAAACTTATTTTTATTATCATTATTATTATTATGTACATGTGTAGTCATTAACGAATTTTTACCTTTTCGACTTTTCATTTCCGGTTATTTTAATTTACTCCGATGACGACGATGACGACGATGATGATGGCAAAAACGAGCGAGCGTAAAAATAATTTGTAAACGCGAGTCTATTATCATTATTATTTTATTTTCCGATAGTAATGATGTACGTTAGAATCGTTTGTTTGTTTGTTTGTTTGTTCAAAGGCGTTCGATTAACAAACGAACGTAGTAAGTACTCGCTTGTAAATGATTTATAAATAAAAAAAAAAAAAACGTTCGAAACACATCGAAATGCATAAGAGAAAGAGAGAGAGAGAGAAAAAAAAGGTGAAATAATAAATTGACGTGGTTTTAGATAATAAAAAAAGAACGTGTAAATCGTGCGGAAAATTCAATAAATAAAAAGAAAGAAAAAGAAAAAAAAATCGGAATACGTACGGATTTGAAATTTCAAGAACGGTATGACCAACTGTTGCAAAAAAGGAAAAGGAAAAGTAATAGTAAGAAAAGGAAAACCGGAAATGGGACGAGGAGGGGGGAGGGGAGGGACGGGGAGGGGAGGGGAAGAATCAAAACCCCGACACTTTTTCCACCTTTTTAAAAAATCAATCGATCATAATATATATACCAATAATAATTATTAATTTTTTCAGGTATAAAACCGGAAGTTATGACTAAATTATTGAGTGACGACAACATGTCCGTCGATGAGGAAAATAAAAAAAATTCAAACGGTTTGGAAAAACCGCAACAACAACAACATAATCCAGATCGTAGCAGGGAATGGTTTGGAGTTCAATTAGAGGTTTGTCATTTTTTTTTTTTTTTTTATTAAATTAATCGTATCGAATCCGTTCGGTCGATCGATCCATCAATGGATCGATTAATCGATTAATTTCCGGATTTGAAAATTTTTTTAAAAAAAAACCGTTTAAATCCTTTTCTCTCGCGGATTATATTTTTTTGGAGTGTATCGAGTTAATTACGTTGTTTTTTTTTTTTTCTAAAAAAAAAGGTTTAACTTTTTTTAATCCTTTTTTTCTTCTGATAATCTGGAAAACGACTTTTCCGGAAAGTCAAACGTCATCCATTAGGAACCAAAAAAAAACGTGCCCGAAGGTAAAAAAATTAAATTTAATTGTTTAAATTTAGTTTACGAGATAACGCACGATCGTTGTTTCTTTTTTTTTTTGGGGGGGCGAAAGGCGGTAGGGTGTAGAGTGGGGGTGAGGGTTACCTCGCGATACAATTAAAAAATTTCTAGAATCTCGTGAAAAATTTGAATTTAACGGGGAAATTTTTTTTTTTTTTTTGATTTTACGATCTTTTCGAGAGAAGAATTGTTAAAATGTTTTCCGTTATCACGAATTTTGATAAACGTGTTTCCGCATTTTGGTTGTTGTTGTGTTTGTTGTTGTTGTTGTTTGTTATCAATCGACATTAAACTTACGTAAACATAAATTATTATAATCACCGGATTCCATGATTTCTATCACGACTCATAACAAAAAAAATTTTTCTTTTTCTTTTTTTTTTTTTAAATTTGGAAATTTTTTTTTTTTATTTTCGAGTTCACGGGTCAAAGATCAACAAACAATTAAGCCTCCGGGTGAGTGTGTGTGTGTGTGTGTTTTCATTCATGTTTTGAAATCTCGTGCCTCGATTTAAACGCTTATCATAAAAAAATTTTTTTTTTTTTTCGTTACGAAATTAAAACGCGATTTATGAAAATTCGGTGGTAGGAAAATTTTTTCTTTTTCTTTTTCTTACCCCCTCATTCCCCTCCTCCCGTAATCACTGATGAGAATAATAATAATAATACCCGATGGAATTTTTTTTATTGATTTTATTTAAGCAGGAAAATTTTTTTTTTCGGTTTTAAACAAACGACTCCTGGAATTTAAAAATAAACGTAATCTTTTGGAATTTGTTTCCCTTTCTCTCCCCCTCTCTCTCTTACCCTCTTTTTTGCACCTCTCTTTCTCTTTCTCTTTCTCTCTCTCTTTCAAAGAAAATTAAAATAGAATTTTATTTATTAATATTTTTTATAAATGGTTTGCCGCGTAACTACGCATACGTGTTAATAATAATACGGAAAAAAAGTAATAAATTTTAATTAGTTAAATAATAATAATAATAATGATAATAATGATAATGATGATAATAATGTCTCAAGTGTAAAGCAGGTAATCGAATACGCGTAAAACAATGGAAAAGTTTTTCAACATATTTTCCTCCTTCTGTTTTTCTAAACCTTTTTAAAAAAATTTTTTTTTTTTTGCCTTTCATTCTAAATATTTACCTTCTAATTTCTTATTACATTAAAAATTTTCCTTTGAAACAGAGAAAAAGAAAGAGAGAGAGAGAAAAAGAGGAAGAGAGAGATGAGCAGAAAGAAATGCGAGAAAAATGAGAGAGAAAAAAGGGATAAGGGGAAAGAAATGTAAAAAGAAAGAAAGGGATAGAAAAAGGGAGTGGGAGAGAAAGAGAGTTGAAGAGGTTTTCAGAGACCCGGTAAAAGGTTTTATCCTTTTTTTTTTGTTTGTTCGTGGGCTGCTGCTTTTCCAACCTTTTCTTAATTAATCACGAAACGTTTTCTAAATCGGAAAATTTTTACAATCAAATGACAAATGTCGATTCTTAACAATTTAATTTTTTTTTTTTTCATTTCTCAAATTTCTTTCCAAATACTTTTTCTTTTTTTCTCCTTTACAAAAACTCTCGGGAAAGCCCCTTTCCCCCTTCCTTCCTCCCTCCCAAAAAAAAAGAAAAATTGAAAAGGAAAATCATAAAAATCTTTCATTTTTTTATAAGAATATTATAATCCTTTAGTAAAGTGTTAGGTTATAAAATATGGTTGAATAAGTTATGTCAAATCAATATTGGGTTTTTCCTTCCGGAAAAAAAAAAACTCCAAAAAAAAAGTTTTTAAAACTGGAGAAAAAACCCTGGAGAAAAAAAAACCTGGAGAGAAAAAAAATCTGGAAAGAAAAAAAAATGCGAGCGATTTTTTCATCATCATCTTCATAATAATCGGTGGTGTTAATTTAAATTTTTTTTTTTTTTCTTTAAATACGAATTTTCAAACATCGAAATAACAAACAACAAACAACAACAACCAAAAATGCTTTATAATTAAAATGATAAATTTAATATTTAATTGGATGAGAAAAAAAATAACGCGTGAGAAGACTAAAAAAAATTTTTTCTTTTTTTGTTCTCGTCGGGGAAATAATAAATTTTAAAACAAACAAATTCGGCGTTTGTTGATCAGCTTGTTACGTTGTGGTTGTACAAAAACAACAACAACAACAAACGATGATACTAAAAAAAAAAAAAATAATATTTAAAATAAAAAAAAATTTCATTCAAAAAAAAAAATTTTTTTTGTGCCGGCCGTAATCGTTCATAAAAATCATTATCATCATTATCATCATCATTATCATCATCATTATCATCATCATTATTAATATCATTATCACATTTAAATCGTGACATTCCGTCTTGTGTTTGTCGAATATTGACTTGATGTTTTCAACCCGTCCCGAATCGAACCCAAAAAGCTCGAGTATCCGTTTTTTAAATTTCCCAACAGCACACCATTCATTCTCGTATGTGATCTTCCAGAGTCCTGGACTCCAGTGGAGTAACCGGGAGTCGTTCGGGTCGAAAGGGAAAACAAGAATTTTTATCGTTTCGTTTTTATCTCGTTCTCAGCGTAAAACCAACAACGCGTGTTATGTTATTATTATTATTATTATTATTATTATTATTATTATTCATTCTTTTTTTTGTTTGTTTGTTTGTTTGTCTGTGACTGACCAATTATCGTAACGTTACTTCTAGAGTGAGTGAGTAAACACGTTGAAAAAAAAAAAAAAAAACTGGAAATGTTTCTGGAAACATTTCCAGTTTTTTTTCTTTCTTTTTTTCAAATTCAATGTCAATTTAATTTATTTTAATTATTATTATGATTTTTTTTTTTTGACGTGGGAAAGATCGATTATTTTTTTGTTTTTCCTACGAATTAAATAGATTTAAAATTTTGCGTTCGACTGAATTCGATAAGAAAATGTTTTCCTTTCGTTTTTCCTATAATTTTCTTTTATTTTTATTTTATAGAACGGAAAATTTAATTTATATATATTTATTTATTTAAATTTTTGTGTTTCAAATGCGAAATTATTATGAATGAGAGAAAGAGAAAGAAAGAGAGAGAGAGAGAGAGAGAAAGACAGATGAAAGAAAAATTTTATTTTTGAAAAGATTTAAATCTAGAAGATATTTTCTCGTCTATTTCTTTTTTTTTTTAAATAGATTCGACAAAAGAAAAATAGTTTCATCCATGTTTTTCCAACCGTGATCGCATTCAATTTAAATTCCTTTTTTTTATTCATTCATTTGTTTTAACGGTACGTTTGCGACAGTGAAATAAAATTTTCCTTTTTTTTGTTTTTTGTTTTAAGGTTGATCCAGAAATTGTAGGTCGTACTCATTATTATTATCATTATTATTATTATTTATTATTATTATTATTATTACTTATTTTATGATTTCCATGAAGGTTTATTGAAATACCAGAGAAAAAAAAAACAAATAAAATAAAACAAATTCGAAATTTTTTTTTCGTGATTGTAGTAATTTAAGGGGCGGGGGTTAAAAAAAAAACAAATTGACCTTTTGAATTTTTATTGTGTATTGTTTTGATTAATTAATTTTTTTTTTTGTGCGTGTGTTATCATTTAAATCCACGCCATAGAAAAATAATCACGTTTTTAAAAAAAATTTTTTTTTTTGTGAAGGGAGAAAATCTCAAAATTTTCCATTTTTTTTTTTTTTTTTTTTTTTTGGAAAATAATTTGTAAATGATATTCAAAGTGTGATCTCGCTTTTGAACCGAAAAGAAAAGTCCCCCTTTTTTTTTTTACCGTTACCGCCTTTTACAGGGAAAAAAAAAAAAAATTTCCCGGGAAAATTCAATAAAGATATCCCATAAAGAAAAAAAAAAAATTTTTTTAAATAAATTTTAACAATTATGTCCTCCAGTATTATTATTATTACACAAGCGATTTCTTATTTTGATGTTTACAAAAAAAAAAAAAAAGAGAGAGAGAGAGAGAGAGAAAAAAAACAATCATGTAATGGAGAGGTCGGGATCATCAACAAACAAACAAACAAACAAAAAAAAACTTAAAAAAGGAGGGAAAAAATAGTAGAGTAGGCAATTCACATGATTGAATGCACTGCAAATTACGTGTACGGAATTTTGCTGGATGAAAATTATTCAAAAAAAAAAAAAAAAAAGAAATAGGGTTATATCATCACCACCGTCACGTGTAAATCATCTCATTGCGCATCTTTTATTATTATTATTATTATTATTACGAATATTTTTATTCGATTGTGTTAAAGTTATGATTATTATTATTATTATTATTATTATGCACCATTCCATGTTATTTTTTGCCGAATATAGTAAATATTTATTAAAATTACAGGTGATAAATTTATTACTGGAAGCGGAAAGGAGAAAGCTTTGCGTTCTTCAACGAGAATTAAAAACCGCGTTGGAAGAAGGGGGTTCGATAAAAGCAAAAGAACATCAAAAACAAGAATTGATAACGGCTATACAAAAAATTCAATCCCAATATGATAATTTGGAAAAGGAATGCAGGCAACATGCGATTGGTGCATTGAAAGCATCCAACACGAGAGGAATCGGAAAGGTAAGAAATGATAACAACTTTTCTTTTGTTTTCTTTGTCGTTTTCTTCGTTGATGTTTGTTTTTCCACCATCCACCATCCATGTGTAAGTGACACGACGAAAGAAATCCGTTTTAACAAATAAATTCCTAATTTAAAATTTAATTCTCGATCGATTTAATCGTAAAAAACAAAACAAAACAAAACAATTTTTAATTTTTTCAAATATCGAATAAGTTTTCAAATCCGATCGCGGGGGGAAAAGGGGGGAGGGGAAGAAGTAGGAAGAAAAAGAAAAGGAAGAAAATTTCAAAATATTAATTTTTTTATCACGTAACAACGCGTTTTTATCGCCATCTTTAAAATTTTAAAAAATAAAAAAAAAATAAAAACATTAACCCGAAAGTTTAACATTACAACGTCACGTCTTAACACTGTATTTGACCGACATCTATCGTGATTTTTCAAAACTAAATCACATCCACATAAATAACGGTTTTTTTCCCCTTTTTTTTGAAAATTCATCGTTATTATTATTATTATCATTAATTGTTTTATGCATAATTAATTTAAATTTTCATCGCACAAATTTTCCGATCATAATAATAAAAATAGAACGCTTAAATTATTAAATAATTTTAAATTTTTTACCGCGACGCCATTTTTAATTTTAACGGTTTTCGCGATTGGATTTTCACCGTTTGTAAGCGTTTTCCCCCCAAAATAAAAGTTTAAAGCTTGTAATACATACATATAAACTTGATAAATTAGAAAAATGAAGTTTTTTGAAAACAACAACAACAGCAACAACAACAACAAACGTGTAAATCAATGAGTAACGTCCGATTTTAAAAAATTTCGCGTTTTTTAATTGCGTTAAATAAATATTAAGGTTATTATTATTATTGTTACACGTACGTATACGTTTATTTAAAAAAAAAAGGTGTTAATGTAAGGTGGTAATGAAAAAATATTGTTATCGCCATGAAATAATGCCAAAAAAAAAAAAAAATGGCGATAAAATAGAATTTAAGTATGGTGGAAAAGGTCACGTGTGTGAATAAAATTACCGTCATTTTTCATTTGGCAACACAATTAATTAATGAATTAATCGATATTCTAAAAATAATAAAAAGTTAGGCTCAAATAATAATAATATCATACCTTTTTTTATTGATAACAACCAAATCCACGCGATTGTTTGTTTGTTTGTAGTCGAATCGAAGTGGATAATGAATTTAAATAATTTACACTTTCAAACACTTTTCACACAAACGACAAACAAAACCCCCCAAAAAATTATTTTTTTACTCTGTTTGTTTGTTTAAAACGCGAAAAAATTCTTTAGCGAATACCTCACACGACCACAACAACAACAACAACAACAACCACAACAACAACTTTCAAATCTAAATTTGTTTATTAATTATTGTGAAATTATTTTTTTTTTGGCTTAATGAAATCGATTGCGTTAATAATATTTAATGTTTTTATTTTTAACGTTGCTTTGAGGGTGACGAAAACAAACACAAACAAACGTATTAAAAATTTTTTGTTTGTTGTCAAAAACAATCGCAAAAAGAAAAAAAAAAATTCGCAGCCATTACGGTCGAGTTTTAAAAAGGAAAATTTTCATTAATAAATTTTTCTATTTAATTTTTTTTTATATAAACGGTTTGAGTTTGTTTGTTTGTTTGTTCGTTTGTCTGATAAATGATTAATAAAATTATTAAATTTTTTTCACGACGGATTACTATAAATTTTTAGCTCTTTCTCTCTCGATGTAATCTTTTCAAAACAAGCAAATGAGAAATGTTTTTTTTTTTTTTTTTTTTTTTTTTATGCTCCAGGCATAAAATTTCCAAATGTCGTTTGTTTTTGTTTTTTATTGTTTGTTTAGTCTTCTTAATTGCTGACACGGTTAAATTAAAGATTTTGTTTATAATGCGAAACAATAATGCAACAATGTTTTAAACATGCGCGCGCTCGCGAGTGTGTATGTGTGTGTTTGCGTGTTTAGGTGAAATGTAATAGAGGGGGAGAGAGGGGAGAGGGGGGTAGGAGGAGGGAATAAATGTATAGTTAATTGAGTATTTAAATCGATTGAAAACATTAATTGATTTATTATGTAAATAAAGACGTTTAAAGATTTATTTATATTGTTTAAATTGTTGTAAACACTTATCCCGGCTAATTAATATATATTTTCCTTAAGGCTAACTAATACAATATATATATATATATTTCGAAATGAATGTATTACTCTATGCATTTTGAAATGATTTTCTATGTGTGTGTGTGTGTGCATGTGTGCGCCTTAGTGTGTTTGTCTCTGTGTGATTTAGAAAGATAATTTTGTGTGTGTTGCCTTGTTGTGTATGCGCCTATGAATGATTATGTGTTTGTGTGTCTGTAAATTAGAGTTGTTTGTGTGGGTTTGAGTGTGTTTGTAAGTGTGTGTGTATG